TATATATATATTTATTTACGTTTATGTTTGTTAATAATTCCTGTTTATTTAACTATATATTTGTTAATACTATTGTTTAAATTTCTTATATTTTCATGTATCTTTCCTCTCTTGCAAGGAGCACCTGTAACATAAATAATTTCCCCTCGGGGATCAATAAAGTATTTCTGATTCTGATATACTTGATGACATCACAAATTTGAGTTTTAGCTCTCGAGTTGTTCATGTTTATGAATATTGTCTGTCTTAGACCATAGGAAAAACAAGTATGATTTCTTTTAAATGAGCCTAGTTCCTCTAGTATGGAGTAGTATAATGCATGACTCTCATACCCTGGTGTCCACTATATACACAATGATGACATATATGTACAGACTGAAAACACATTATAACTGCTACTTTAACTCACACTAAAAGTATTATAAAAACAACAGCAAACACTGCCCACAGATGTAAATCAATACTGTCGTTCATAATACTTTGGTATATAATTAAGCTATAATTTAATTAGCATTCACATAGTAGCTAGCTTCCTGTTTGATTAACTAGCCACGCTGCTAACGCGTTGCTAAGCTAGCTTACCACTGTTAGCATAGTAACCAAACATTACTGGCTCTGCCGTTTAGCTAGCATGAAGCTACGTGAACTCTGTTACCTGGTGAAATTGGTTATTCCACGCAGTCGGGAAAGAGACGAGCGTACAATGTTCATCTTTAGATATTTACACAGTTGACACAGGCATGAGAACACTGAATGTCACAGCTCTGCCGGCCTCCTACCTACAAGAAGCAAAGTGATTGGCTCAGACTTTTTAGCCAATTGAAGCGCGTGTTGCTGGAGAAGCTGTGAAGTTTATTCCCTGAGTAGCGCCTTTCAGGTTGAACTCTCAAGCAGTTTACAAATCGACCCAACATCATGTTTCACCTGTAAACTGTTTATTTGCGTGGATAACAGCTCCAACTCTCCCGGGTGCTGTTTGACATTAGTGTCTGGCAGACGGGATACACTGAACGAGGTAAGAGATGGGATTGGTGTGCAGCCTGAGAAAAGCTCTGCCTGAAAGATCATGCTCAGGGTGTAGGGTTTCCGCAATATGCAGTTTTTCCCAAACAGCTAAAGCACATGTTCTGATACAGTTAAAATTCTCACTTTTGTAAACATGGCAACTGCTGTCAATACTGATTGTCATCTCAGATCAGTGCAGCACAACAGTTCTTTAACATGCAACAGGCCCCACTCACATAATGTCAAAATACATTCATTAATCAGTGCACCACTGCTACCAGAACACCAGTTTCTGCATAGGCCTACCATTAGCAGCTGAACCTCAAGAGGCTCTTGCCCTTTGCCAGGCCGCCATTGTAAATAAGAATTTGTTCTTAATGACTTGCCTGGTTAAATAGAGGTTAAATAGAAAAAAATAAAATAAAAGTAACAGTCACCAGAATCAGATTAAAGCTTTGATAACATTTTACATTACAGCAGATATCTTCATGCAACAAATTACATTCTGGAATACTGTAGAAATAATTAAAAAACAATCTGTAAATCCTTTCCTAATGTACATTCTCGACGGCTTGCATCATGTACAATTATAGGAATGCTTTATTTTCACTTCACGTTTTCATGTTTAATTTTTTTCTCTCCTGCTCTGTGATACAAAGAATTTTCTTAGATTCATTCAGTGCTCTTTGGAAAGTCTCCAGTTCTTCACATGAATAAGAATAATCCCGTAACAACTTCAGTGCCTTCCTGAATGCAAGTTTTGCAGATTTAATGCACTTGGACATGCCCTTCTTTCCTATATATGTCTGCTTTCCTATATGTCTGCTTTTGATTCTATAAAAAGATTGCACTGAAGTGATGTAGGATGGAGACAATTGTAATAGGCCAACATCAAATCAGTTTTTTTTTGTATAAAAAGATTAAGTAAATTAAGTCAAGTTCAACTCTATGGTCATTTCCACATACAGAGTACATGAATGAAATTGCCCTTTCTCCCAACCAAGGTGCCATCATACACGGACAAATATGAATATACATGTCACACATACAAGTACAAAAATATAAAGATAAAATGTTTAATATATACATATATATATATATATATATATNTACACGGACAAATATGAATATACATGTCACACATACAAGTACAAAAATATAAAGATAAAATGTTTAATATATACATATATATATATATATATATATGTATATATATATATAAACATAACACTTCACACATATATACATATTCAATTGTTTTGAATTTTATTATATATTATATATATTATAGATACATTAATATTATAAATCACAATTTGCCTCAGAGGGCTTTACAGGTAATGACATCCCTCTGTCCTTAGACCATCACAGCGGATGAGGAAAAACTGAGGAGGGATCCCTCTTCCAGGACCGACATATGTGCAATAGATGTCGGACAGGAGCAGGACAGAGCAACATAATACATTTACAGTAATCCATATGACAAAGTTATACATAAAGAGAGTCAGAGACTGAGAAAGAAGCAGGTCAGACACTAGTGACAATAGCTGACAACACCAGTAGCAGTAGGAGGCATCAGGCAGGGCCACGGCAGCAGCACATCCACGACACACCATCCAGGCGTAGCTGCGTTACGACCTTCTCTCTTGAGAAGAAGCCCTACATGCATATACGGTATATACATATACAGATAAATAAAAGCACACGTAGAATGTTACAACACTTCCAGCAGAGCCCTTGACTAGGAGGCATCTGGTTTTTAAAGTGCAGAATGACAACAGGTGGCTCGTCGTTGATTATCTGAGCCAGGGATGAAGCTGTAGCTGCTCTAATGTGGCACGCATCTCAGGGTCGTTTTGCAGACACATCTGCAAGAAACCTCTGCAGCCTGGGGAGCAAGAGAGAGAGAGAGAGAGAGAGAGAAAGAGAGAGGGGGGGGAGTTAGGGAGTCAGTGGTTTCAGTGGCAGCGAGGTGATCCACTGTAAAACAAAAAATCCTCCCAAAGATTTGTGTATGTTGACTTATTTCATGTCACCAAATTCTAACCAGTTCATTCTTGAGGCCAAGTAACTCAAATTTGAGGAAATTCCTTCAGGGTCTTCTCAAGACATTGCGTTTACAAGAATGAGGCTGAGGCAAGGTGTTGACGCACAGTGACCTTGACCTTTGACCACCAAATTCTAATAATTTCATTGTTAAATCTAAGTGGACATTTATGTCAAATTTGAAAAAAAATCCCTCAAGGTGTTGTTGAGATATCGAGTTCACAAGAATGAGGCAGCTGCAAAGTCAAGGTGACCTTGACCTTTCCCTTTGACCACCAAAATTTAATCACTTCACCCATGAGCCCAAGTAAACGTTTGTGCCAAATTTGAAAAATATAATCCCTCAAAGTGTTCTTAAGATACTGCTTTCACAAGGACAAGACAGACAAGGTCACATTGACCTTGACCTTTGACCAATGACCAACAAAATCCTCAGAGAGACGTTTCTGCCAAGAAATTTAAAGAAATTCCTTGAGAGCGTTTCTGACATATCGTGTTCACAAGGCTGGAATGGCTGTGGGGACGTACAGACGTACGGATGTATGAACAGACAACCCAAAAACATAATGCCTCCAGCAACGACTTTCGCTGGCGTGAAGGCATAAAATACTGTAGTGTATTGTAGTATTAAATATCATCTTCTGTAATTTCAATTAAGTGACCCTTGCAAACGTTGTCTGTGTGTGTGTGTGTGTGTGTGTGTGTGTGT